AAGAGTCCATGCTTTTAAGTTAGAAAGTCACAGAATTTTGGACCATATGCTAGGAATTCAAATGTCAAGAAAAATCACACTATTAATCTGGAATCCACCGATCAGAGATGGTTTTTCCATATACGTGAGCCTTTACCGCAGCTGCCAACACTAGTAAAACTGGAGCAAAGAACAGCCCTGGGACAGCACAAGATGAACCAATGGCAGAGATCGGGAGGAGGTGAGGCTAATTTGCTGAATACTTGGACTCTGGTTTTCCCTCGGTTCTATCACCAATAACTTCAGTCTGCAATAATGGTTTTAATTGTCCATCCTCTAGTGACCTTTATGTCTGCACTTCTTCGACAGTTCATTTCATGGCCACTATGACTGCCATTTTGTCCTTAATGTCAGGACTTAGGTATGTTCTAGCTCTAAACTCTTTAACTGCAGAAATTCATGCTATTAATTCCCACCATTCCAGCTCACCGTTAATCCTCTCACTTCATAGATTCCTCATCTTCAACTTCACTTTGACTTCCAGTTGCAGAAATATCAAACTTTCAATCTATTGACAAGCTTCTATGGTTCAATTCTTTATAAATCTTTTCATCATGCCACTTGAAACGTTTTATTTCTTGTCTTTTTTTTTTTTTTTTTGTCTTTTTGAAATAGGGCCTTACTATGCAGTTCAGGTTGGCCTTGAATTCACAATAATCCTCCTGCCTCAGCCTCCTGAGTGCTGGGATTACAGGCATGCGCCACCACACCTGGCTTATTGTCTTTGATATCCTATCTCCTTGTTTTCTATCAGACACCTAGCTCCTCTACTATTATCCCTAGCCTTGCCTCTAGAACAAACTCACTCAACAATTCATACTGTAGTTGCTATAATTTCAGGGTCTTGAATCTCAATTAGTTCCTCAGAATTTTCCTTCCATTTTTCCATATTTTTCCAGTTAGCTCCCTGTGGATGTCAAACGAAACTTGAAAAAATGTAGACATACTATATTTCTTAAAGATGTGTTACTATCATAATAATATGAAATCTTCTAAAATTA